CCTAACAGATGACTAAAAATCAGCACAAGGTGTAAAAATAGTAAACTACCTCATTCATTGTGTACATCTTATTGTAGGGCATCAAGACCCAATCACCAAGGCCAACTTAGTGGTGCTCACTGTTCCCAGAGATCACACCGTGGTGAGAACTTAGGTTAGCTCACCCTTTACGGACAAAATTATGACGGCGTGCACTAACTTTCGAATCGCTCATTAATTTTTGAAAAAAATGCATAGTTGTAACTGTAGTGGTGAATGTTACTTCCCATGTGAAATGACAGAAAAAATGAGTGACCCCATTCGTAGCCTGCAATGAAGTACTCACATGTTTCAGTGGTAAACATGTTATACACATATATACTTCTTCGGTGCTCAATGTTGGAGGGAAAGCTAAATCCAACATTTGCTTGCGCACTGTGAAGAGGTTGACGTTCTCGTGTCATCCGGAACCAAGGTTTCCCGACTGAGAGTGCCTCTATTCCATCACTATTCCCTCACAACTTCATAGCTTGAATAAGATCCCTTCAACGGAACCTAAACCAACATTGCTACTACCAATTTCTTGATCACAGGTGATGAAAAGGCATTCAGTTCCGTCAGCAATCGCCTTCTGTATGGCTGTGACTGAGTTTGAAAAGTTCCATGAGTGGCAAAAGTTTTCTTCGCCTGTCACAGTATATCATTAGGCTGAAAGTGCTTCAAGTCATGAGTCTGCCTATCCATCCATCCGTTAAACTATCCGGTACCCATAGAGTATTTCCGAGTCAGAAATTTCAGCAAGAATTTCCGGTGGTTTCAAAAAACAACTTGACCAGTTGAACTCCTCGGCATAGCGGTGTCGGGAACTGAACCCATCTGGCTATGGGTGCCTGTGAATCATATCGAAAAGCGAACAGACCAAACAGATGCACCAAGTCACGAGTCCCTACCATAATCCCGGAACGTGTCGCTCAGAAGCTCGCTACAACAGCAGACGACTGTTCGCAGAATCAGAATTATACTGACGTTATGAACATCGTCAGAATAGACCACTTAACGTCGATCGCCGACTGCCAGCGACTGATTCCGACACGTGGACATTTCGACGTAATGCTGCCGAACATCTTAAGTCATAGAACGAAAAATTTACAGTTTCTCGACAGTGCCTGTTCGCTTATTCAAAAGTGTAGCGAGTTTCGACAGGTTGCTTCACGCTCTTTTTCAACTACAACACTGACAAGTTTCAGCAGACAATTTTATTTACATAAAACAAATTTTTCCGTTGAAGTACGATGAGAACCAAGTTCAGCAAATATAGTGAAACATACACATAAAACACAGGCAACAGCTTGTACCAGTAGATATCAAAAAACAATCATGAACATCTTTCTGCAAGTACTGCAACGAAATCGGTCGTTTCGAACAACTTCGTGTCGTAGAACGCGGTAGATTGCAATTCAAAATGCAACGTAGTTAATGGCAGATGTTTACAGTATATCGCTCTTCGAACCATTCATCTAAAAGTTGCACAGCGACGCTGCAGCTTACGCATGGTCATCAGGAGATGAGCATCTCTGGCAGAATTTGAGAACGGCAGACTCCCACTGCATGCCGCTCATTTTATTGTCTTTGAATTCAATGATACGCGAGCAATAGGGCTTCACCGATGTTACAGTAAGATTTTGACAATGCCAATGTTATATGGAATAAGGAACTTAATATCGACCAACTACAGATGGTCAATGAATGTTTAATGTATATTCCAAGGATTTCCGAAGGACATGAAATCGCTGTATTCCACCTGTTGAACTAACTGTGATTCAATTGCAATGTGCATTAGCAGCTGCCTACTTGACAATGACAATAAGCGACAAGCTGATACGAATAACTCAGTGACAACGCTGCAACTAATACAGGAAGGTTTCGTCCTACCCTTTTTTATTCGCCTGAGTAGCACCGCCAAGTGACGTAAATAAAGTTCAGCACATACTTCCAACTATCACCGTCACATCGCCGGTATGCTTTCGTTTCGCAACTTCTACTGTTCGTAACGTGACAATCTACTAAAGTTGAGAGAAGCTGAGTGACAGGAAAACAAGCTACGAGTAAACACCTAGATCCTAATCAAAGATGGGATTAAAACTGTAGAAAGTTTGTGGATGAACTGTTGAATAATTAGCACCGACTTTGCCTGAAGTTTTAATGAGCTCTTCAAGGACAGCATTAACCTGATTAGCGCTCCGCAAGACTGTAGGTCAAAAGAACGCCCATCGAAAGTCAATTACCCTGTCCTCTTGAATGGCTGACCTACATAACAAATTTCATAACGGTTCATTGGATGGTTTAACGTGAGGAAAATCACTGGTTTCATATATCTTTGTCGCGT